GGTGTTGCCCTCTTACGACATATTTCAGAAGCAGACATGTTGCAACACTTGCTAACTTCACCCCCCATCAGCATTCAACAGGATATTAACGTGCAACACATTAGGTCTTCTTCAGTGGTATCTCACAAAGCATCTGTTGTGTCAGATCTATAATTGGCACGTGGCAGCGGTGAACGATAGGGGTGCAGAGCACAGTCATGGGGTGCAGGAGTGAGCAGAGTCCCTTGCGGGGGGGCCCGTGGGATCCTGGTGCTGGAGTCCCAGGACATTAAATTCAACAGGATATTAACGTGCAACACATTAGGTCTTCTTCAGTGGTATCTCACAAAGCATCTGTTGTGTCAGATCTATAATTGGCACGTGGCAGCGGTGAACGATAGGGGTGCAGAGCACAGTCATGGGGTGCAGGAGTGAGCAGAGTCCCTTGCGGGGGGGCCCGTGGGATCCTGGTGCTGGAGTCCCAGGACATTAAAGGGTTTCTCCACCCCTGGCCTGGCCTCCCCCATGGGGTCAGTGTGGGGGGTGATTCTGGATGCACCAGGGATCCCAAGCCAGGCTTGATTCTGCTGGGCCCGGTGGGGTGGCTCTGGATTGACAGCGGGATCCATGAGGTGCTGCCGTACAAGCTGGGGGGCCTCAGCTGTGGCTGCTCTTCCTGGGCGGACAGGGTTGGCCAGAATCCCCACAGTGGCACTAGGGGCACTGTCCCCAACTCGGCAGTAGGGGCCCCAAAGTCTCCCTGCAGCGTGTCTCTCCCTGAGGGACCCCTGCAGCTCCTCCGGCTTCTCACACCTGGGGTGAGACCCACAGGGCAGTGTTCGAGCTGCCCCGGGTGCAGCAATGGCCGGCGACAGCTTCCTGTGGCAGAGGTGTGAATGGAGGCGGGAGCGAGATGCTGAGCACAGCATAAAGAGACAGTAAGAACACCGCAGACAGTCTGTGACGCCTGGATCCACTGGCAGAGACATCTCCTCCTGCAGCGACACAGCCCAGCCCCGGCTGCAGACAGCCCCCAAGGCTGAAACAGAGCTCGGCTCCTGACACAGGTGAGTGATGGGTGGGGCTGCTCAGACCAGCCGAGATCAGGGCCCATCGCGCCGGGCACTGCTCAGACCAGCCGAGATCAGGTCCCCATCACGCCAGGCACTGCTCAGTCCCTGGCTGAGATCAGGTCCCCATCGCGCCGGGCGCTGCTCAGAGCACTGCTCAGACCCTGGGCGAGATCAGGGCCCATCGCGCCGGGCACTGCTCAGACCCTGGCCGAGATCAGGGCCCATCGCGCCAGGTGCTGCTCAGACCCTGGCAGAAATCAAGGACCCCTTTGCTCTGGGTGCTGCCCAGACCAGCCGAGATGGGGGACTCCTTCATGCCACATGGTCAGGAACGTGTGGCTGGAGTATGTTCCATCTCTGGCATGGCTCAAACATACCTTTGTGTCTTGCCCGAGTCTGGGAGGAGCTAGACCAGGGCTACTCAACTTTGGAAGCCCTGGGGGCCACAGGGATACTCACAGCACATGCTGAGCGCCGCAACTTAAGTATGGTTGCATAGACATACTAATATTTATGCAAATATATGCAAATAGCTTTTTCACACTGACGGGCATGAACGCAAAGATTGAGGCAAGATTGCACCACACACAGGCCCCGTTTAAGTCAGGTCCAGTGATTTTAATAAAATGCAACATTTACCCAATTTCCACCCATAGGGCAGCACTTTTAGTGAGCAACGACAGTCCAGGAATTTAACGGCTCGAACACATCTCAACAGAAGATTGTTCTATTGACGACTTTTTTGTTTTGGCTCCCACCCGCGGGCCGCGTGTTGAGCCCTGCGTAAACCCAAACCGCACCGTGGGCCGCAAACAGGCTGCAGGCCACATGCAGTATGTTGAGTAGCCCTGAGCTAAACCCCGATGCTGCTCAGATGCCGGCAAAGCCGGGATAACATTGTGCCTGCTTCTGCACAGATAGTGGCTGAGATCAGGGACCTCTTCTCTCTTGGCACTGCACAGTCCCCTCCCCCCATTGAGACTGGGGTCTTCTCACACCTAATGCTTCACAGAGCTCAGCCAAATCATAGACCTGAGTGTCCCACATCCCTAACCCTCTGACCCCGCTCTCTTGCCGGAGCAATAGCAGACCCGTGTAGTGCTCTAGCTGTTAGGACACACTGCCACTCCCCTGTTGATAATTCATTTCACAGCTGATATCTTTCCTACTAGGGGTAGCTCGCAACTTCAGGCTCTTTGATTTTGTATTGGCCACGAACAGCGGGGCAGCTGGCGGGATCCAAGAGCACCAGCAGAGTGTGAGGTGGGGAGAACCCCAGAGCTGGGATAGCAGAAGGCTGCGGGTCGGGATGGAAGGGCACCGGCAGAGCCAAACCGTCAATATTCAAATGTGTTTTTCCTGCCTGGTGCTGCTGCGGCAAGTCCACAAATTTACTATCCCTTCCAGTCCGAGCCGGCTGCCACCTCAGGATGCAAAGTTCCCCCCTTCCTGCCCCAGCATGCCCCATTGTGATACAGGCTCACACCTAAGCTGAACCCACGTCAGATCTCCATCATTTCCCACAGCAGCACAGGTGAAAAGATTAGGAAAACCAAGCCCATCAAATCCAAACGGGGTCTTCTGATACGAATAGACCAGACACATTTCCAGCTTCATTTGTACCTCATATCTTACCCCAAAGGGCACGCTGTGCCCATCCTTTAGAATCTACAATCGAAAGGTTTATTAAGAAAGAGACAGTGTGGCTACGTCTAGACTGGCATGATTTTCCGGAAATGCTTTTAACGGAAAAGTTTTCTATTAAAAGCATTTTCAGAAAAGAGCATCTAGATTGGCACGGACGCTTTGTCACAAAAGGGAATTTTGCCCAAACGGGAGCAGCATAGTATTTCCGCAAAAAGCACTGATCTCTTACAGTAGGAAGTCAGTGCTTTTGCCGAAATTCAAGCGGCCAGTGTAGACAGCTGGCAAGTTTTTCCGGAAAAGCAGCTGATTTTCTGGAAAAACTGGCCAGTCTAGACACAGCCTAATGGTTGAAAGTACAATTGCTAAATGAAAGCAATTACATACGCCCATTGCAAAATTCTTGGTGCAGGTTTGTAACAGAGATGGCATAATCTGTGGAGATATCCATCTCTGCGGTACATCCTTGACTAGACAGGGTCATCAGTCCTTCCGGGCTCAGTCCATAGCACAGATGCTCCAGAAGTGATGAGTTGGAACGAAAAAGAAAATGGAGGAACCCCCAGGGCCCGCTTTATCCCCTTCCCAAGTGGAGGGAATCCCATTGTTCTCCTTGTGTGAAAGTGTCCCCCAAGCGGAGCACGTCCCCTGTCCATGCAGGACTCAGCCCTGCCGAGGCAGCAGCCATGGCTACGTACTGGTCAGCACCTTCACAACAAAATGCCTCAGATGTGGATTGGCACCACTTCAGGCTCACTGTCAGTCAGGTTGCTTTTCACTCGACTAGCCAGCCTTTCGCAGTGGATAGGCCATGCCCCCTATCGATGTTTTCAGGACGCAAACGTTTGAAATACAAGTACAGAGCCAATATTCATCACTTCAATCACAAAAACGACACAGGCATGTGAGCAGTGAAAAGAGAATCAACAAATCACCAGCTTCCAGTCGACACCTCCCTGGGCCCACTTTACACAAGATGCGGCGCAGACATGGACCCCGGCTTGCAAGAGTGGTTTGTTGGTTCATCTCCCGAGCCAATAATGCCACACAGGCTACTGGGCTACAAGAGCCCAAGCGTCTGCTGTGGGGTAGTAGAGAGGGGAGGATACTGGGCTAGACAGGCCCATGGAGAAACCCGGGGCAAAAAGGAGGGAGTAGGACACTGAGCAGCCCAGGATCTGTTCCGGGGTGGAAGGGCATCCTGACACCTTTCTCCAGCAGCCCCAGTGTAAAAGGGGCAACTCCAGATGTTGGGCTGATGCTGAGCATGGGAAACCCCAGAAGAGAGACCCTCCAGGAGAGGTTAATCAGAATCAAACCCACCTCTCTGCCTGGCCCCTAGGGGACCCCAGCTGTAATTTGCATGGGGGAGGTCACCTCAAGAATCTGTGGTGTCGTCATGGGCTGCACTTTTCTGCTATATTCCTGGAGGGATTATGGTATTTGGGAGGGAGGCTGGGTACAGGAGGGAGCTCCACACTGGGGTTTGGGGTGCAGGCAGGGGTGGGAGGGCGTTTGGGTGCAGGAGGGAGCTCCATGGGAGGGAGCGGGTGCAGGAGAGAGTTGTCACCGGGGGCAGGAGGTTTGGGGGCAGACGCAAGTTCAGGGTCAGGGAAGGTGTTTGGGTCTCCCGACGTAGACCCACATACCCCCCTCACTCCAAGAGGACCCGCACAGAGACACATTGGCCCCCTGCAGCCAGGCCCTCTGAGCAGTGTGTGGGGCCACGGTAGGCAGGCCTGAGCATCCAACTGGGCCACAGGACATTAGTGGCTAGTGTGGCCCAGGCTCTGGCTGCTCTCGCCCGCTGTCCAACCTGCTATTCACAAGACAGGGGCCTGGGTTGCTTTCAACGGCCCTCATGGCCACACCCAGCCACTGCATCACCTCACTAATGGCCAGCTCTGGATTCTGGCCACATGACACGGCCTTCTAGTGGCCCCAGGAGGACCTGCACTGCTCCAGTCTTGCATTATACATGAAACTGTGGCTCCTCCTCATGGCTAGTGCTGGTATTACAGTCTCAGGAAACGGGGGAGAGCTGGGCATTGATTCAGATTAGGTCATCAATAGTCAAACATGCAAATGAGGTAACACCTCCAGGAGTCCTACAGCCTAGAGTTTTCATAGCGGTGCTACCCAACATGGCTGATGTCATGGCTGGCAGGTGGATGTCTCTGTCTCTACTAAAGTTAATCTATGGAACTGCCTGCTAGTGGATTGTCACTAATTCTGCAATTCTCTGCATCTCTCTCTGCAGGGCTGTTCAGAGGCCGACAGCGCCTCCTGGGCAGGTGAACCAGCATGTCAGCCATGCCCAGATTCGGTGCCTTTGTTCCCCTCCTCCTCTTCATCTTCCCTGGGACATCCCCCCGGTGTCACACGGGCACCGCCAATGAATGCAAGCAGCACACGGCTGACGTGCCAGGGCACAGCCTGCTTGGCATAGGTATCGATGTGACCACGATGGCCAGAAAGGAGATCAGCCTAGTGAACAGCAACCTCTGGCAGCGCTCGGACGGAACCTGCACCCTGTGCCAGAACCCGCTGCAGGGCGGGCAGTTGCAGAGGCTGCCGCTGGCTGTGATGGCCTGGCAATCCCATGACTTGTGCTGCAAGAAACTCAGCAGCTCGGTGCAGCCGTCGGCGATGGGCATGCTGCAGTCGGCGGCGTCCGTGGTGGAGAACGACTGGACAGCAGACCTGGACATGCCTGCAAAGCCCAACGGTAACGTCCAAATGGCGCTGGCCGGATCGCACTCCAAACTGGCGAAATTCCTGGAGAAACATGCGCGGATGGACAAATACAACTTCCTGAGCCACCAGGTCTCCTGCGGCTACTACCAGTGAGTGCTGGGCAGAGTCAGGAGGGCTCAGCTGAAACTGTGGTCACAGCAACAGCACAGTGCTTGGGACGTTCCCTTGTAGGCAGCGCTGGCTTCCATCCAGGGCCAGGACGGGGTGATGGGCTGGCTCAGTGGGAGGGGAATGGGAGATGAGGTCCTTCCTCTCTAAGCGGCACCTCCCCTCTGGGACTGGATAAATATGGGGGGTTACTTACAGATCAATATCCCCAGTAAAGTCGGGTGAGTCGTCCGATGGAGGTGGCTGCTTTGAGCTGGAGCCAGCTGCTTGCAGTCTTTCTTGTGGGTTGGTTGGAGCCTTAGTTTGTCCAGAAAATGATCGCAGCTGACTAGCCTGACTGAGCTCACTCCGCACCTTGTGTCCCTGGGCAGGTTATGGGTAAATGGGACCCCTCACCTCACCTCTCATTTCGCTGAGGCGCTGAAGAACCTCCCGGAGCAGTACGACAGCAAATCCAAGGTGGAGTACCAGCAACTCATCAGCAACTACGGCACCCACTACGTGTCCCAGGTGCTGCTGGGGGGCCGGGTGCGGGACGTGACAGCCGTGCGGGTCTGTGAAGCGGCGCTGAGTGGCTTGACAGCTGACGAGATCAAGGACTGTTTGAGCGTGGAGGCGGCTGTGAGTGTCAGAAAGGGCTTGGAGAAGGGTGTGTACAGCAAGTGCGAGGAGGCGAAGAAGAAGGGGAAGGTTCAGGGGAGCTTCCACGAGACGTATCAGGAGCGCCACGTGGAGGTGGAGGGAGGACACAGCACAACAGACATCCTCTTCTCTGGGAAGGATGGCAAGGACTTCTCAGCTTGGATGGAGAGCCTCAAAGCCAGCCCCGGCCTGGTGTCCTATTCCCTGCAGCCCATCCACAGCCTGGTGGAGCAGAAGAACCCCAAGCGGGGGGCGCTGAAGCGGGCAGTGAGTGAGTATATCCAAGGGAGGGCTCTGTGGAGGAATTGCACCCAGAGCTGTCCCCCAGGGACCCAGCGCAGCGTCCACGACCCCTGCTCCTGCGTCTGCCCCGGGGACTCTGTGACCACCACCTCGTGCTGCTCACGGGAGCGTGGGCTGGGGAAGCTGACGGTGACCGTGAAGAGGGCCAGAGGCCTCTGGGGGGACCTCTTTGGTGAAACTGATTCCTTTGTCAAGGTCTTCTTTGAGAATAAGGAGATCCGGACCGGCACCATCTGGAACAACAACAATCCCACCTGGAACGTCCATTTTGGCTATGGCACCGTCCGCATCACCAGGACCAGCAAGTTCCGGGTCGAGGTCTGGGACGAAGACTTCAAGTGGAATGACAACCTTCTGGGAAGCTGTGATGTCCCGCTGGAGTCCGGTGGGCCCTACGAGAAGGAGTGCTACCTGAACCACGGCCGCATCTGGTTTGAGTACAGCCTGCGCTGTGGGCCCTACCTCACGGGCCGGAGCTGCTCTGACTATGTCTCCCAGCCACCTCCACAGAGCACAGCCCAGGGGAAGAGGCAAAGACCTTCTGGTGAGCCCTTTAGATAGGGGATCGGAGAGCAGCCTGGGTGTGCATTGGTCAATTACGTTCCCTGAGCGACCATTTCCTGGCTTGCGCTTTGCTGACTCTACCACGCTTCATGCTGTTGCTCCTGTTCCCGTGAGCCTGTCATCCTCACAGCTCCCTCTGGGGAAATAGCCCATCACATTCTGGATCTTTGTGAGCAGTGTGTCCTGTGTATTCATCCAAGAAACTAAGTAAGGTATGTTCCTTCTGCCTGCAACCTAGCTATCTGCCTTCTTCCCTGCTGGGGAATGGTAGTGTTTAGTTCATCCGACTTATTCAACCAGCAAATCACCAACTCAATTTTGTGTATCCATACAACCGACCAAAGAATGTGTCCTGTGTATGCACCACATCCTTCCATCCTACCAAACGACAATGTATCCACTGCTTCCAAACAGCCAATGAATTCATTAGCGTATACAATGTGAAAAAAAAAAACAGTTCGCCAACCAACCAACAAATATATTTAGCGTATCTGGCCAACCAGCCAACCAATGCATCCAATGTATCTGTTCAGCCAACCTGTCAGTGTCTGTTTCACCTACATCTGATGTATTCAACCAATATCTTATGTACATCCAAGTAGCCAGTGTAGCTTGTGCAACCAATCAAGCAATGAGTGTATCTAGAGCATCCAAACAACCAAAGACTGTACATAAAAACATAAGAACAGCCGTACTGGGTCAGACCAAAGGTCCATCTAGCCCAGTATCCTGTCTGCCGACAGTGGCCACCGCCAGGTGCCCCAGAGAGGGTGGACCGAAGACAATGATCAAGTGATTTGTCTCCTGCCATCCTTCTCCAGCCTCTGACAAACAGAGGCCAAGGACACCATTTTATCCCCTGGCTAATAGCCTTTTATGGACCTAACCTCCATTAAATTATCTAGCTTCTCTTTAAATTCTGTTATAGTCCTAGCCTTCACAGCCTCCTCTCGCAAGGAGTTCCACAGGTTGACTACGCGCTGTGTGAAGAAGAACTTTCTTTTATTAGTTTTTAACCTGCTACCCATTAACTTCAGTTGGTGTCCTCTAGTTCTTCTATTATGGGAACTAATAAATAACTTTTCTTTATTCGCCCTCTAGACTGTATCTAGATCATCCAATGTAATAAGCCAGCCAGCCAAACAACCAATGAACGTATATAGTAAATTCAATACGATCGATTTAGTATTGAATAAGGATTGTAACTGAATGAACTGCAAAGGCAATTTTCCCTCTCTAAGGATTGTAACTGATTAATGAACTGCAAAGGCAATTTTCCCTCTTTTGCTATTCACGTCCTCTGTGAATGACACACACAGACGCATCCAGACCACAAATCTGTGCAGGCAGTGCTATTAATCCATCTCTCCAAGGATCCATCCACGCACTGTAATGATCAACCTAGTACATCCAGTTGAAAACAGGACATACGTTCCAAAGATCAGCCCTTCCCAATTCTGGCATCAGTGATTAACCATCTTCAGAAACCACCAAGCATGGGCAGAGTTCTAGATATCCAATGGATGGGCTGGGCACCGAGAGGAAGGATTCATTAGGAAATTCATCCCTGATGGTTCTCTCATCCTGTACTTGCAGGGCCCATCTACCATCCAACTTCATGTTCCCTGCTCAGACGGGCAACACAGGGTATATTACTAGCCATTGGTAGGTTTCAGAGTTATCAGACATGAGGATATTCTACACGGCTATTGATTAGGCTGTAAGCAAGCTCAGGGAGGTGGTGCTGCATTGCTATCATTTTGGAAAGTGCAGTTAAAACACTTTCCTGGCTCACCCAGTTCTGCATCTGCTGAAAGTCTATATTAACAGCTCCATGGTTAACTGGTGAAAGAGGGTTGTTAACTCTGGACCCTACAGACTGCAAGTTAACTATATCTAGCCTGCAAAACTGCCATGCAGCTTTTCACCGTCACTGAAAAATGATTTGCTTTTGGGAGGAAACCAGGTCTCTAGATTTTGGGAATGTATCTCCCGGCCTCAATAAACATTTGCAGAAGCATATTTCTAAACTGGCAGCCTTTGTAATTCTTCTAATCTCACTGAGCTGCACCCCATTTTAGGGTAGAACTGAGCAGCTCTGATCTGGCCCCAAGGCAGAGGGACGGGCTGGGGAATGGGACATGGGGCCTTTCCCCACAAGGGGGCGCTGGTTCTGACCTGGCCCCATGACATGCCTGGCTCCAGGGGCTGGGGAAAGAGAGTGATAGTTCTCTGCCTCAGCAAACTGCATCTTGCATATTAGACCTGGCCATGCAGGGAAGGGGTTGGCAGAGGAGTTTGGGGGGTGGAGGGAGGGCTGAGCTCCAGATCTGCCCCCAGAGTGAAAGCTAGATCCTGTGTAGCAGCTGAGAGATAGAGCAGCTCCAGAGAGCTGGAGGGGATGCCTTTGAGATGCATCATGGACCAGAGAGCATCATTACTTAGCCTCCCCCCTTCTCCCCCACACACACCAGTGACCTCAGAGCAAGCCCCAGCAGGGTCCATGGTCCTAGCTGGCATGGCCCACCTCCATCCCACTGCCGCCTGGGCCTGAGCCCTTCCCTGGGCTGGGAGTTGCTGCAGCGCCCTGGACAATACTCCAAGCTGCCGGGCGCAGCAGGATGGGCAGAGGTGGAGCCTGGAGGGGGGGAGATGAAGGGTGGGCGGGGCCAATAAGGACACTGCAACATTGACAAGACCCAGGGGCCAACACAGACGTCTCCAAGTGTCGCTCTCCCAGGACCACGGGCCAGTCCTGATGCTGGAGGGAGAAGCAAAAATTCATCCTACAGCCCGGCCTGGGGGACCGCAGGGGGGAGAGTCACTTGAATTTCGCACAGATCCTGTCACCTGGCAACCCCCTTCCATGGCCACTGA